GACACGAAATTGGGCGGGAGTGTCTATCTGCTCGAGGGTAGGAAGGCTCTGTAGAGGGATCTGGACAGGCTGGATCGATGGGCCAAGGCCAGTCGTATGAAGTTCAACAAGGCTAAGTGCTGGGTCCTGCACTTGGGTCACAACAATCCCATGCAATGCTACAGGCTTGGGGAGAGTGGCTGGAAAGCTGCCCAGTGGAAAAGGACCTCGGGGTGCTGGTTGACAGCCGGCTGAACATGAGCCAGTAGTGTGCCCAGGTGGCCAAGAAGGCCGATGGCATCCTGGCTTGTATCAGGAAAAATGTGGCCAGCAGGAGCAGGGAAGCGATTGTGCCCCTTTACTTGGCACTGGTGAGGCCGCACCTGGAGTACTGTGTTCAGTTTTGGGCCCCTCACTCCAAAAAGGACATCGAGGTGCTGGAGCGTGTCCAGAGAAGGGCAGTGAGGCTGGTGAGGGGTCTAGAGAACAAGTCTTATGAGGAGCTGCTGAGGGAACTGGGACTGTTTACTTTGGAGAAGAGGAGGCTGAGGGGAGACCTTATTGCCCGCGTCCCAGGGAAGTGGCTGAGTCACCATCCCTGGAGTATTTAAAAGACATGCAGGTGTGGTGCTTAGCGACATGGTTTAGTGGTGGGCTTGGCAGTGCTAGGTTAATGATTAGACTTGATCTTAAAGGTCTTTTCCAACCTAAACGATTCTATGATTCTCTTTCTCTACCTGTCTGTGAGCTAGCTGTGGAGGTGAAAGAACAAGGCAAGATCATGTGTGTGGTGATACTTCCTCAGTACTCTTGGGGATTGCCTTTAGGATTAAAAATTTAACAGTTTTCTTAACCTCTTAAATTTCCCGGTCATCTGTTGAGTCATATTGGTCTGCACCCAGGTGTGTCACAGCTTCACGAAGTGTGAAGTGCAGAACCATTACACTCTGTTAGGAACTGCCCAAGGCTGCAGAAACTTATTCTGGAATCCACCAGCTGGGTAATGGTTGCTGTTGCCCTCATTCTTGCATCTAATAGGCCATGATGTGCTTATCCTATGTGAGTTGAATTCTCCGATTTTTAGCCCCATTTATGCCTTTGAACTTTACAGCATCCTATGACAGAGAATTCTAAATTTAAGTATACCTTGTGTGAAAAACCTTAATTTCACAGAGTGTCCCCAGTTATTTTGTTGTAAGAACAGTTGGTGAACATTCCTTAGTTCTCCATACCATTCATGACTTTACGGACCTCTCAAATACCCATACCTTATTTTTATTCCTCTCTTCTATCCAAGCTGAAAAGTCTAAAATTTATGCTTGTATGCAAGCTGTTCCAATCCTAACTGTTCTCATTGCTCACAGAAAGTGATTTTAAGTGTAATACCCTTTTTGAACTGAAGTGATAGAATGACTCTGGTGTTCAAAAAGGAGGCAAACCCTAGTTTTTTTAAGTGGTACGGTAATGTTTCCTACTTTATTCTTTGTGTTTTTTGTTACAATTCTTCATTGTCTTTTGGCTTTGTTATTGCTGAATAGTGAGCTGCTGTTTTTCCAGAAATATCTGAATGTTTCCCGTTCCCCCACCCCCCGTTAATGATATCTGATTTAGGCTTGTTTTGTTTCTGTGAGCATTTCTTTAGTTACCAACACTGTATTGTACCACCTGGTTCATTGCTTGTGTCCTTGCACCTTGATAAGTTGCTAAATTAGCAAAAGTGCTGTCTGATTTCTGTTTGATATTGCAGCCATGATTGGTTAGACATTTCTTTCAAGAGCAGTGCTGGAGCCTGTTGTATCACATTGCTAATGACTTCTTCAAGGTTTTAGTTTCCAAGAAAACCGTACGTGCATGCAGGCAATCAGGATATCGCCAGCTGATGAACACCTGAAAAGGTAACAGGGATTCAGAAACCTAAATTAAGAGTGTTGGGGATGTTGCTAGTTTTTGTACTTATGATAGAATCATCGAATGCTTTGGGTTGGAAGGGACCTTCAGACGCCATCTAGCCCAACCCCCTGCAGTGAGCAGGGACAGCTTCAACCAGACCAGGTTGCTCAGTCTATTCCTGTTTCTATTGCACAAGAAAATGCATTGCAGAGCTGCTTAGGAGTCTTGTTTCTTCCTGAGAAACTCTATGCTTTGAAGATTTTCTAAAGTGACACACAACTGTATGGTCTTTCTTAGAATCTTAACTGTACAGTGGTGTGATGCATTGGTTTCTTGATAGTCGTACATGTGGGATTTTGACAACCTTGCCAAGATAGAGAGGAGCAATGTTCTCGACTAGGGGTTTGCGCTTATGCTTGCCTGTATGGCAAGACGTTATAAAGGCCTTTCAAAGGCAGTGCCCTAGTCTTTTATCAATGCATCTTTTCCACATTTACTGAGAAAATTCTGCTGAGCAGCTCTGGAGAGTTTAATTATTTTTCACAGTGACTGTTTAAGAACATTATCTTTGGACTGCCTAAGAATACAGTATCTTGCAATTGTGCTTTCTTGTTAAAAAGCTATTCTTGCTTGTAAGTGGTGAAAAACTTCTGGTATGCTGACAATTACAGTGGTTTTGGTTTTGGAAGACTTTTTTTTTTTTTAAACTTATAGACACTTTTTGTGTGCTCTGAAAAACAGTGATTCTGCGAATAGCCTGTGGCATCACTTACAAACAAGCAGGTTATCAGCAATAGGATGCTTGGACAGATCTGCCTGCGGCTCTTGCAAAGGGTAAGATAGGAAACTAGCTATGAATTCCTCTGCTGTAACCAGAAAAGCAGTGGTGCAGAACTTTTCCCCACTACTGAGTGCTTTGAGACATCTTTTGCAGGTCCCTTATTAATGCTGATTTGAGTAGATTTAGAAAGGCAGCATTGCCCTTAGTGAGTCAGTACTTGAAATTGAATAAGTCTTTTAAGTCAAATTTTGAGTGTTGCATATTTTTGAGTCACTGCATGTGTCATAATGTTGTAATATTTTTTTATTTTCTTATTATTTTGCTATCTTCTTTTGTAATCCTAGCTTTAGGTTTAGTGAAGAAGTTTTTTGAGATCAGGACCGTGGATTGTTGACAACATGCTTAGGCACTATTTTAAGTCCTTTGGTTAAATGAAGAAAGGACAGGTTTATGCTATTATCAATTTCCTGTTCTTGTCCTTTGCATGAATAGAAGCTAGGTGCCTTAATGTGCTACATGCTTACATGTTAGTGTTCTACAGGCTAAGTCTCCGATAAATGGTGGTATTTCTGGCAAAAATTACATGATACGAAGTGTCCTGGTTTTGGCTGGGATAGAGTTAATTTTCCTCCCAGTAGCTGGTGTGTTTTGGATTTAGTAGAAGTAGGAGAACAGTGTTGATAACACTGATGTTTTTAGTTGTTGCTATGGAATCAAGGACTTTTTCCAGTTTCTCATGTTCAGCTGATGAGCAGGTGTGCAGGAGCTGGGAGGGAGCACAGCCAGGCAGCCCAGGCTGGCCAGGGGAAATATTCTGTACCACAGATGTTGTGCTCAGTTTATGAGTGGGGGTTGGCCAGGGGGCAGGGACCTTTTTCTCCTTTCCATGAGTTCGAATCCTATTTGGCCTGGAGTGCAAACTTTTCTGGGAGTTTGGTCTTTTTTGAGAGTTTCACGAAATTCAGGATTTTCCGGGTTCTGTGATCACTGCTCAGGGAATGACTGCGAATTGGTCATCAGGTGGTGAGAAAATTGTATTGTATGTATTGTGGTTTGCATATTCATTATTATTATTATCATTAGTATTAGTAATTCCTTTGTTGCTTTATTAAACTGTCTTTATATCAACCCATGAGTTTTACCTTTTGTCCCTTTCTCCCCACCATCCCACTGGGGGAGAAGGAGAGGGGTGAGCGAGCGGCTGTCTGGTGCTTAGTTGCCAGCTGCTGGGTTAAACCACTACACGCAGTTAGGAACCAAATGCTTGCTATTGATGTGCAGTTAGTACTGTGTTTTTAGGAGGCTACAAGGCACTTAGGGTTGCTGTTGTCAAAGGAATGAAGTAACTTTGCTCTGGTAAGGCAACTAAGAGGAGTAAACACAGTATCTCTGTCTGTGAGAGAGCCAGGAAGATTTTTACCTCGGAACTGAGTTTTTTCCACAAAGTAGCTGCATTTCAAAAAACATGGCACTGCAATAAATGGTCCATTAAGTTAGGAGAACCAGTAGTGAGCCCTCTGCGAGTACAGTTAGCAAGTTAATCTCCTCAGATAATTTTACCACCTCTAGCTTCCGATCAAAAGGTTTGTTTGAACTTTGCAACATTTTGACTGCTCCATATCATTGCTGTTTCCTTTCTCCTCTTAGGTTAGAGTTTAGGTCTGCCTTTCACTAGGGCTCCTGAGATAAGGCTTGCCTTTGGAGTGGTTGTTAATAAAGTTGCTGAGCCGTTGAGAAGCGTGGCAGGGAGCAGAGAAAATTGTCATCTTTGTTCTGTTTAGTTTGGGGAAAAAGAGAAAAAGCAGGAAACATGATGGAAGGAAGTACAATTCTGCTTAATGCATATTTGGCTTTTTTATCTAATCCAAGGTATTTTTGAAGAAGAGACTTCATTAGTATTCTAAAAATAATTTGAATTTTCTGTGGATAAGAATATCTAAATTACACTAAGAGGGTGTAAATTCATCAAGAATGTATGTCTTAATTTCACTGCGTAAGCTAGTCGTTGATTTCCTGAACTGATGTCATAGGTACTTGATTTCATAATTTTTCTCTATTGTATTTCCTATAGCAGGATGCAAGATTAGTCTGGTCATCCTTTGAATGCACAGTCACAATACTGGTGTTCACTTTTGTTTTACAAATGCAGTGATCTAATGCAGAACTAGAATGTGTGCCTTCCATGTCTCTGCTGCCAGGCTGAAGCCTATCTGCTAAGACTTTTAAATGATAGTGGTTGCTATTGCTTGATAATTTGCAGAAGAGAGAGGTGCGAAGTTGCTGGAGTCAGATGTCACAGACTGTACACATGGTTTTGAACTCTGACTCTGCTGTCTTCCTGTATAAGCAGATTGAATGCCAGGATGCTTTGGAAGCAGCTGCTCGGGCAGAGGGCCTGCCACTGGACACCTCCGTGCATTCCCAGCTGAGAATGCTGGGTGAAGAGGGGCACAAGGGCAAATACCACCATGGCCTGAATGTGCTGAAACCCATACGGACTACTTCCAAGTAAGTCTTTAAGCTACAAGAGAACTGATACAGCATTCGCTTTTCAAACCAGCCACAAAGCAGGACTGCAGCTGTAGGTCTGCTGACTGATACTGAAAACGTCAGAATTTGTTGAGCAAGTATGACTGGTGTGGGCCATTTGGTACTCTGAGTACTTTCAGTGAGAGGAGGCTTTGTTTTTCTCAGGGATTTACAACTCTGTTTCCTTTTTCATCTGTTTGTGATTTTTTTTCTTTTAGACACCAGCACCCAGTTGATAATGCTGGGCTTTTCTCCTGCATGACCTTCTCCTGGCTCACTCCTTTGGCCCACAGAGCATACAAGAAAGGGGAATTGTTTATGGATGATGTATGGTCTTTATCAAGGCATGAGTCTTCAGATGTCAATTGTAGAAGGTAGATACATCTTGTTCCTTATTATTTTCTGTTTCCTTTTTTTATGTGTTAGTTCACAGGCAATGATATAGTATTGCCCTAGAAAAGCAGCACTGAGATTTTGTTCTGCCTTTCTCAGAATAGTGGAATTCAGTTTTATCCTTCATAGACCACTTCTTCCTGCTGCATTGTTTCTTTACTCTTCCCGATTTCAGTGAACTTGGAGGATTGTCTCCAGGAGTGTTTTGCAATTGTTTTTCTGATGTTGCATGTCTTTAAACTATTTTTTTAATTAAAACAAAGTTCTTTATCAAGGCTACACTGAAAATAATTTTGTGCTAGAATAATGAAATGTAATACTGGCAGTAGCAAGATGGTTTGAATATGGGTCAGATCTTGCAATCAGGCTAACCTTTTATGACTCTGCAACTCTTCTGTCAGATCAGCAAGGAAAGACTGCAAAGTTAATATATCAAGATTGCCAAAGATACTCCAGGCAAAGCGAAAGGCATTGTTTTTTTCATACCTCTCTTCTGTAGAAGTAACACAACATAGGTATTTCAAGATGCAAATATTTCTCTTTACTTCACAGAATCTACCATGTATTTATTTCTCTTGATATCTAGTAATTTTTGTTGCTCTGAGATAGGAAATGCTAGGAATTTTCACAGGGAAGTACCTACGAGATTGTGCCTTCTCTCATGGTGAAAAATTTATAACATGAGGCTTCTGTTTGTATTAGGCTGGAGAGATTGTGGCAGGAAGAACTGAAAGAAAGTGGGCCTGACGATGCTTCTCTCCGGAGGGTTGTGTGGATTTTCTGTCGCACCAGGCTCATCATTTCCATAGTGTGTCTGATGATCACGCAGCTCGCGGGTTTTAGTGGACCAGTAAGTAATATCCATCCTTTTTTTTAACAACCCCAGAGGGCTCCATCTCATGGCCAACTGTAAAATCTTAAGGTTTCATTGCAGAATCACTTCAATCTTTTGACTAGCTAGAAATTTTGGGGAAAAATTCCAGAGTGATTCAGTAATCCAAGATAGATTTTCTACAGCTGGTGGATCAGTTGCTGAATACCGAGGCAAGTTCTTGGAGAAGGGAGGGGCAGTTTAGGTGTCTTGGAGGAAATGCACACTTGGTTTTTCTCTTTGGTTTTAAGTATAGTTTAAAGTTCTGCCTTAACTGGTATGTGATCTTGATGCATAAAATTCTTATGTGCAGGTCTTTTAATTGTTTTCTTTTTCTTTTTGCAATTCTGTAAATATATCTTGGAATAAAATTCAGTCTAAGACACTAACCTTAGATTATTGGCATTAATAGCACAGTCTTCAAGGAGTGGAACAAAAAAGTGAAACAAAATTAGAGCACTACTTAAAAACTAATGTGAACAGGTCTCAAGAAGCCTTTGGGTATAGTCTTTGCTGATCCTGCAGAGAATGGTCAGACAGGTTTCGTGTAGAAGTGTTAGAGTACGTTATTGCCTCTAGGAACTGCTGCTGTTTGTTGCTGTGGGTCGTAATGAAGATAACAACATATGGGACTTGACATTCACACCATTTTTTGTCACCTGTTTGTTGCACGTGCTGTGCAGATTTACAGTTGAAATTTTGACTAAAATTATTCTCTACACATTTCCCTTGAGGAGTAGGAGCAGTATTACTGCTAGTAGTACACGTTTCAGTGTGCTGGTAAGCTGGAGGTTCATTTCTTGGGTAAGTACACTTGGGTGCGCTGTTAGGTGAAATGTCTTTTTAAAATGTTTTCCTGCTTTTAAATGTCTTATCAAAATGATGTTCTGCTTTTTAAGCCTTTTTAAAGTTTGCCTTGTTTCGTGTAGTATGAATAACAATAAATGTTTCTGTGGTATTTGTTTTCTTGGTAATAATTTACAGTAGCTTTGTATTATAAAATACATGACTGTACTTTGGTAATTAACAATAAGTCATGATAAAGGTTTTAACAGCGCTAGCTTTCCCCAAGAAGAGCTTCTGTCATTGTTTCACTACAGGGCTTTAGTAGCTGCTTTTATCTTTAGCAAAGAACTTGCAGCAGGGTTGCCCCTAATTTCTGTAGTGTAATTTTCTCAATTTGTCTCAGCCGAACTGCTGAATGAGAGAGAGCGGGAGGGGAAGGAGAAAACCAACCCAACTAGACTAGGCTGGGGGTGACCGCTGCAATTGATGCTCGATTTGGGTAATTTGAAATTATCTTTAGATACTTGCCCGTTTACAGGCAACCTTATTCATTTCTCTGAATAAGGAACAATTCCCTTTCGGTTCCATCATTTGGCATGAAAAACAAGTCTTTACCATCCCTCCTCCCTGTTTTTACAAATGGCATGCCTCATAGATGTGCCTATGCTGTCTCCTCAGAAATGTCAGTGCTTTCTTGTATTGTTACACCCTTTCACTCACCTGAAGGTGAAAAAGGAGATCAGGAAAAACACTTGGCTTGACTTCATGTATTAGTGAAAATGATAAAAATGGAGTTAAACACTATATTAAACTTCAAAAATTTTAATTGAATGTCTGTGACCTTGAAATGCCAGCCAACAGCTGTGGCTTTGCTATTGAGCATTGTGATGGTTATAACTGGAAAGGAGTTGTTGCAGGCTTCATGTGTGGGTTTTTTTGATATCAGATAGATCCTTCAAGGGTCTTCCTTTTTTTTTTAATTTTGATAAATTCTGCATCTGGCACAATATCCAAACCCGTAACCTGGTGAGACAGCTGCATGTGTCAGACTGCCTTGTAATAACCATCAGAATGTACTAGTATAGATGAGATACTATTTATCTCCAGTGAATATTTGCTGCCATCTGATCAGCTACCAAAACTTTCAAGTTCAGGTTGAGGAGCAAAGAAATTTTTTTTATTACTTAATATAATCAGTTTAACTCCAGGTCTGAACAAAGTACCTGTTTCCAACTGTTCAGAGCTATTCTTCCTGTTTGGGAGATGGGGAAACTTGCTATCTTAGTGGAGTACAGCTTGACAGTTTGGTCAGTTATTGGAGGGGGGAGTGGTAAGCTATTGGAGGTAAGTTTCCCGATTTCCCAGTTGGCTCCAGTTGCAGCCTGCCCTGTGCTGTCGCACGCTGGCTGCAGCAGGGACGCCAGCACTGCAGTGGGACCAGTGACAGAAGCTGTTCTTTAGAATTTTCAGGATGGCTGTTTTCTGCGTCAGAATTGAGACAGTCCTGCTGGGCAGAGCCAACGCCAAGAGCAAAGGTAAGGTAATGTTTATTCAATGGGAATGCTTAAGACAGCCGAGCAGGTAGTACAAACTACTGCGGAAATAGTCACAGGAGTTCCTTTTTCCCCATTAGCTTGAGTTTTAGTTTTTGTACTATAACTTTCTTGTTTTGTAAATAACTTTATGCTTGATTCTTGTCATTAAGCTAGTTTGAATTCAAATAGTGTGTGTTCAGATGTAAATGTCAATTCTGTGTGACTTTTCTCCCCTCCCTTTTCAAAATTCTTTAATCTGCTGTTTCCTCTTTTCTTTCTTCTGAAAAAAAAATAATGGGGTTATAATGTAAGCTGGTCTTTATTTCATCATGGGAGATGCTGAATCTATAAAATAGTGCTGAAAAAATGCACTAAAAAGTTTTGGGAGGAATGAGACCCCAGGAAACATCTGCTATCTTTATACATCCTCTCGGAGACTTTCAGCAATGCTGTGGTGTGCGAGAAAATGCTTGCAGTCTGCGACCATGCTGAGTTACAGCTCGTGAGGAAAAATGGGGATTTTCACCCCAATTGCTCAGTGACTCGGTTGCATATGTTGGATTGAATACTGGAAAAAGAAGTCAGTAATCTCAATAGTAACTGCAAACCAACTGTATGCAGTTGTGGTCCAAACAGTCGATGTGAAACTAAATCCAAGTAAGGAGAAAGTTGGAATGCGATAGATCTGGGAATCTGAGCTCCTCACACTTGTTTAAGGGATCGGTATGTAAATTTTCTCAGTGACCATTCTAGACCCTGATGGACATCTGGCTTTAATTCACACCTGTGAAAAAGAAAGAGCAAAATTATTTACAGCATGTTTCCTTGGTTCTGACATGCAGAACTATTTTCCTCAGAACAGATGAATTTGATCTCCATTTTTTTTCTGTTATTTGATGCTGGGCTATAGCTATCAATACCTTTGCTGAAGTAGTGGGGTTTTATTTTTTTCCTCTCTCTTCAAACTATACAGAACTCTTATTTGCAAAAGCTGGTTTAGCCAAGAGGACTTCAACGGACTGTGATGTGAAAGGCTTCTCAAATATTTTCTTTGGTCTCAGATTTTTTTGTTGCTTTTTACTGTGGGCAAAGGTAATTCTCTGCTCTGTACTAGCATATCAAAAGCACCAGTATCTCAAAGCATCATTTGTTGAAAAGCTCTCTAGGAAATCCTTTGCTGTCTGTGAAGCCTTACTGTAGGATACATTTTAAACCAGATTTCAGGATTTCTGCAGCCTCAGAAGCCTCCTCTGTTGGCACCTGCAAGTTTGACTTCTTTTGGACTTCATGAACAAATACTGTTCTGTTTATGTATCTTTATAATTTTGTGTGTAGTTTCAAATCTAGTTTATGTTAGAGGCGAAGACTGACTGTTAGATATTAGCCTTTTATTATCCTGTATGTGCAGATTGTATGTTGATACAATGCTCTACCTGTTGTATGGTGTTTTTGAGATGTTACCATCTAAGATGGCATTTTATTTCAAATAAAAGCCTGTTGTTTCGCAGTCAATAGTATTTAATATTGCTGGTGATTGTGAGTTATATGATCTTATATTGTGCCATTGGACCACAAAGAGCTGGAGGTGGGAATCGGTGGTTCTGGGGGCTGTCCTCTTTCTGCAGGTGATGTTTGAAATGTGATTCCTGAGGTAAAGTGTTTATGTTTTTGGGGGAAGAGGGTATGGGGAGGGATCGAATGGTTGATTTTTATTTTTGGTCTTTTTTTTTTTCCTCCCCTGTCCCCAGTGATTTGTGGTATTGCGTACCTTGTGCTTTCGGCTTGTTATTTTCTTTACTATTAAACTGCTGATGTTTATTTCCAGGAATGTTTTGCAAATGTCCTTCTCACTCTTCCCCTCTACAACTGTAGGTACATTGTTCCTTTTTATCAAATAAGCACGTTTGAAGCAAACCAAAGATAAAATATAAAAGGTCTTAATGTCACGTAAAGGAATGTTTCTTAATGTGCGCAGATGTATAAGTAGTAACCATATTTTAAAACTCTTCTATACGATAATGCATTGCTTTCAGCTAACTGACAGATTTATGTTAAGTTAGAAGACACGGAGGATTAGAAGCGTGCTGCGAGGAATATGGTTCCAAATTAAACTCTCTTTACTTACTAAATTTGACTCAGTGCTTGGCTCTCAGCAGGGCTTTGTGTTACAGTAATTCTCGTATTGACACCTTTTACTTCTAGAAAGAAGATGCTTTCTATTTTTCAAATGGCTCTTTTAAAAGCAAAGTAGCCTACTTATTTCTAACTTAACATAAAGTTGTTGCATGGTCTTCTGGGATGATGGGGTGTTCATGCAAGCTTGCATTTCTTCCTGTAGGCGTTCGTTGTGAAACATCTTTTGGAGTATACCCAGCAGAGTGAGTCCAACCTGCAGTACAGCTTGTTTTTAGTTTTTGGCATCTTTATGACGGAAATAGTGCGATCTTGGTCCCTTGCGCTAACCTGGGCTTTGAATTACCGCACGGGGGTTAGACTGCGTGGAGCTATCTTGACAATGGCATTTAAGAAAATTCTTAAGCTGAAGAACATCAAGGAGAAGTCTCTTGGAGAGGTAAGATGCAGCATCATTTTGGAAACTGCAGTGTGAAAAGGGATATGCAATATATTCCTTTAAGAATGAGCTGTGCCTAAAATCTAAATAATCTGTTATGTGTGTTTTTCAGCTGATAAACGTATGCTCCAATGATGGTCAGAGGATGTTTGAAGCTGCAGCAGTTGGCAGTTTGTTGGCTGGGGGCCCTATTGTGGCCATCTTAGGAATGGTTTATAATGTGATTATTCTGGGTCCAACAGGCTTCTTGGAAAGAGTGAAGACTTGCTCAATTTTCATTAGGTCAGTCAAATGTATAGTTCTGAAGAGAAGGTGTTAGAATGTGCTAGATTTAGCCTGTTTATGGTCCTGCATGTTATTGAAGGTGTTTCTAAAGATGGTGTATGAAGCAGAAATTTGGAAATGGGAAGCTCAAAATTATAAAATTAGAAAATGGAAATAGGAAAGCCGATAGATTTAACTGAGATAAATTTACATAGCTACATTAAACTGGAGAATGCTCAGGTGCTAGTGGTCAAGGTTGGAAGGACACAAGGCCTCCAGCTTGTGTACAGGAGCTCAGTGTTGTATGAGCACATTGCTCTTGATTTCAACAAAAGATGTGGAAAAGCACTGTGTTAGTGAGAGGGTGTTCTTGATTAGTTACTTCTGCCTCAAATTCTGCTGAACTGTGAAATAGGCTAGTTCAAGCCAAAATCTTCTTGCCTCTAAAATGCCCTGTAAGGCTGCTGAAGATTTGTCACTGTATTCATAATAGAAATTTTAAAAAGCATAGAGGATGAATACTGTGAGGTCTACTTTGGTCCAATTTATCTGGCCAACAGTGAGGATTAAAATAATGGGAATTATATTTTGAAGAGAGGAATGAGGAGTGGAGTTTGATCATCTTTTCCAGTTTTTTCAGCAGTCTTTCTCTATTGATGGGCCCTCTAAAAGAGATTGCAGGAGCACGAACAGGGGCAAGGAGCTGAAAACTTCCTGAAGTAGTGTGTTTGTTTTGAATTGCAGACCAGGAATGGGATGAATGTAAGAGCACCAGATACTTAGAAACATGTGAACAACTATTTATTTTTGGACTGTTTTAGTAAAAATGTTAAAACTGTTTGCCACCTTTACAACACTGGCATATGGTAGAAATCTGGCTGTGCAAAGTCCAGCTCGCTCTTTTGCCTTATGGGACCAGGTTAAAAGGTTGGCTAAAATGGATTCCTTCGCCATGAGGGTCAACTCGGTGTGTCTTTAGGTTAATGTGTTTGTAGTCTTTGCGCTTCAGAAACTTTTAACAAATCATGTACTCTTCAATGTTCGTGAAAGCACGCACCTTTATTTTCACCAATTTTATTTTTGTTGAAACTTGCTATTGTAAGTCTAGTGCTGAGTGCGGATGGGGTGGGAGGATATGAGTAGTGTTTTCAGCCTGACTTCTGTGTTAGAACAACAGTCACCTTGCCCCATCGCTGAATCCCTTTTTCAGATTCAAAATTGGCTTTCTCTGGTAATTAGGAAGAGTTGAATGTACTTGCTTTTTCTGAGTTGCTGTTAACGTTGCTTGGTGTTGCCTTTTGTTTCAGATGTTTGTATCACGCCTCACAGCTTATTTCAGAAGAAAATGTGTATCAACAACAGACGAGCGTGTGCAAAAGATGAATGAAGTTCTTAATTACATTAAGTTCATTAAAATGTATGCCTGGGTCAAACCATTTTCTCAGAATGTTCAAAGTGAGTTCACACGATCTGTAAATGTTTCCTTTTATGCAGATGCCCCATTGCTTAGTAGCCTGGTGCGTGCACCCTACTAGCTTAGTACCATAGATGTTGATGTACATGCAGTGTGATAACACTTTGATCCTTCAGGCTTTCTATTTATTGTGCATGATGGGTTGGACAAACAGACCTGTTCTAAAGTTTCACCTTCTAGCATAAAGATGTTTGTGGCTTGGCATTAATCTTAAATTTTTAAATTTTGTTCCATTTTTTATTATTTAATACATGTGCTGGCTACTCCATTTTTAAATAAAGTGAAAAGACCTCTATTCTTACGGAGGTTTACAGACCATTGTAGTTCGTTCCTCTGTAACTGTGGTCTTTATAAGAAGGTGTATAATGTGATAAATGCTAAAGTGTAGAGTTAGGCCTCTCTCACTCAGTGTTTATAGTGCTATGGTAGTATCTGCTGTGTATGTACCCCCCGAATCATACTTCAAACATGGTGCCCCTATTTATATTTCTAGAAATTCGTGAGGAAGAACGTAAAATCTTAGAGCGTGCAGGCTACTTCCAGAGCATCACTGTGGGTGTGGCTCCCATAGTTGTGGTCATTGCCAGCGTGGTGACCTTTTCTGTCCATATGATCCTTGGCTATGATCTTACAGCAGCTCAGGTAACTTACTCCAGTGTTGAAAATATTCTTTACAATCTTACTACAGTAGCTTTTCTGCTGAGCCATTTCTCTTCATCATGCTCTTTCCTTTGTGGTTGTGACTGTGTGGCCATATCATGGGTGTAACAGCAGCAAAAGGAGTCTTATATTTTGCATAAAAAGCTCTTGGTGCTGTTTCAGTCCTGACCTTCCCCAGAACAGATTTTGAGCTGAATGTAAACCTCCTGTTTGCTATTCAGACAGGACATTGAGATTACTGGATGTTTTTGTTTTACAATGTGTTTGTGCAGAAACAGTGCAAATCTGTCTTAAAAGAGACTTGAACATGGGTCTTCACAAGTAATAGGCTAATGCTGAATTTGCTAGCTGCTGCTTTCAGTAGACCTATGAACACTGAAGATGTCTGTCTTGGTCTGTTATAAAGCACTGGAGAAAGAGTTGGGTAGATCTGCTGTTTTTGCTCTTCAAGAATATATTGAATATTTAAATGGTTTTTCTTGGACTGGGGGCCTTTTCTATGGCTTTGAATTGCTGCTGTGACAGTTCAGCTTTTAGAATGTTGGAGCTGTTAGTACGTTGCATCCAAATATCATTCTCTTTCTTGTCTCATTTTTAGGCATTCACAGTGGTCACTGTCTTTAATTCAATGACTTTTGCTCTGAAAGTAACACCTTTCTCAGTGAAGTCGTTATCTGAGGCATCTGTTTCTGTTGACAGATTTAAGGTAAGCAGCCATTTGGCCTTGCATTTTTAACTGTAAGGTTGGAGTGTTATATGTGTATAATAGATGCTAAGGGAACCCTTGGAAGGTAATGTTGTTTTAATGACTGAGGATTCTTTTTCTTTACACTTAGCACTCCAGATTATTGGATTTTGCAAAAGATACAAATCTAATGAAAGAATCTTAGAAGTTTATGATAATACCAGTGTGGGAAGCAAAATATTGTTATTAAATGATTTCAGGATTTTGATGTTGGCTACTGTAAGAGATGGAATACAGGACTAGGTGGCTCATGGTATAAGAATTATTAAACTCCCTTTTAAGACCATCTGCATGAAAAGACAGTGCAACATGTCTGCAATGAAATGTCATGTTTTGCTAATGAAACTCTTTTTGGAAATGTCATGTATTATGTAGGCAGCTTTGCACAAACCAGCAGAGTTCTGTTTGTAGTAATGAAAAACTGAGGATTTGTATTTCCAGACCAGATTAAGCAACTGGAGCTCCACTATATGAATAAGATGTAGTGATCTGATGAAACAGAATCTATGCCAGAAAATTAAAACCCTTATAACAGACAGTCTTATCTCATCCTTCAATCCCTGTGGAGTGAATACTTTAGTATGAACTCAGAGGACAGGCCTTTATTTTGTCTTCTTTCTTGAAGACAGTAGTGCATTGCACATTGCAGAAATCTCCAGGTGGGATTCCACAAACATTGACAGGTACATGGATTCTGTGTAATGCGTTCATGAAAGAAATCTGGGTGTGAGAAGAATGGGATCTACAGAATGGTTTTGAGATCCCATTGCTTTTGAGAATTTTTGTTTCATCTTCTGAGTGACGTTAATCAGGCTTTCTTAAATCCAAATGAGCTGAAGGGAGTTTTGAGTGGGGAAGAGAAGGAGAGGGGAAATTGTAACATCTCCCAATATGACCGTAAGCAGTGTAATCTGTGCAGGGAGAGTAACACAAGGTGGGGATACTCTAATATCACAGTAAAAATGTAACTGATTTTTGGCTTTGTAAATGAGGGTGAGCTTTCTTCCGAATGTGTAATTCGGGCATAGCAATTGCAAGAGTAAATAGGGCTGAGAATTGAGAAGTCTTTAATCACGTAAGGCTTCTTAGTTCAAAACATAAATTATGTAAGTGTAAAACATTGTATTTTATACTTAAACTGTGTGAAAAATCTCTTCCTAATCTGTATTGATTGTAAGTACTGATGGATGTGGTGGAAAACAGGATACGATGGACTTAATGAGTTGATGTGCAGGATAAGTCAGTTACTTTCCGTAAAAGTGACCTCTCCTCTCCAATGCATGTGTTTTAAATCTGGAAATTACACAGCTGCATTTGCAAACAGTGTTAAAAGAATAAGCCCCTCTCATATTGCATCGAGAGTACTGCAGTTCTGTAAAAGCCTGGAGTTAGTTTACACTAATGAGCTACCTTTTGCTCTTCAGCTTCCTCCTACTATATAGCCTGATGTGTTTTGCTGCGTGAGTGTGCCATAGGCTTGTCTCCCAGTCTTGATCAGGTGTCTCATCTTTACACCTCTCTCACAACTCCTATCAGAGTTTATTTCTAATGGAAGAGGTTCATATGATAAAGAAAAAACCAGCCAATCCTCACACCGCGATAGAGGTGAAAAATGCTACCTTGGCTTGGGACTTCTCCCACGCCAGCGTCCAGAGCTCACCAAAGTTGACCCCCAAAGTGAAAAAAGACAAGAAAGTCACCAAGGGCAAGAAAGAGAAAATGAAGCTGCAGAATGAGGGACAGCAAGCTGTGCTGGCAGAGCAGAAGGGCCATCTTCTAGTGGACAATGATGACCATCCCAGCCCCGAAGACGAGAACAAACTCATCCACCTGGTTAACCTTCGGCTTCAGAGAACTCTCTACAACATTGACCTGGAGATAGAAAAGGTAAGAGAAGAAAGGAGGAGCTTTCAAAAGGCCTCATTTTTAGCTGTCGCTTGGAATAGAGTGCTGTGTATTTTTGCACGAAATAGAGCGTATTGCTTTTGTGCACTCCTGTAATATCCATGGCAACTGCAGTATCCAGGATGCAGTGTCTGGTCTTGATGTAAACAGCTGTGCCATTTTAGCAGACTAGATCTTTGCAACAGCCTGTGAAACAACTGCAGGTTGTATAGATTTCGCATCTAACTGATGGTTTTGCTGCTTGTAGCTCTCAGTACAGTATATGAGCCATTGAGCTTAAAGAATTAGCAGGGCAACAGCGCTGTCAGTGGGGTGTTGGTGGATGGTGTATTCCTGCAGCCGTTTGATACTTTTGCAGGGTTTCAGTGATATTCTGGGTGAACTGGTGTTCTAATGGAGCGTAAAAATGCTTGTCATTGAAGAATGTGCAATTTTCTTCCTTAGAGAATTTTTGTACAGTGGAAGGGCACAGAGATTTGCAAGAATTTAGAAGCAGTTGGAGTCCTCATTCCAAGATGGGTAAAAGCGTGTAAAATGTCAAAGGAAAAGCATTGTACTTAATACATGACATCTTCTACAAATACAAAAATTTTGCAGTCTGGCAGTTGGATGTTATAGCAATGGGATCCATACATTTATCAAAATATTTGTGGTTGTCTCTTGTAGTCATATGAGTAGAGGGATAGTTTATTATGAACTATAAGCCCCCATATTTTAAACTTTTGAGAAGTATGCATATAGTTTAAAAAATAGCCTTGAAAAAGGAGTACAGTTACTTGAAAATGTAAAGGCTAGTTTTCTGCCAGATGTTTGTAAACGAGAGGAGGCCAGCAATGTGTTCCCCAAGTGGCTATATACCCTTTTTGTCCACTTCACCTTTTTTTACAAAAGGAACAAAAATAGTTTTGATGAATTTGTTGTTTAACGTGGGTATCAACCCACCAATTTCATTGCAGACAATTGCTTCGAAGTGACTGGATTCTAGCCTTTTCTTGGTACGTGTTTCGTAGCAAACTGCATCTCATAGGCAAGGAGTTATAGTGGACCCATATATCCTAAATTCTTCTTTTTTTTCAGTCTTTCGCTCTTTATATCTTTTCTTATCACTCTCAAAAGCATCTTGGTGCATTCTGTCCAGGCAAGTCTTGGTGCTTTTGGCTGAGTGCAGCGTTCTCTGGTCCTGTGTCAGGCCCAGTCAGACAGAAGCTGAGCTTAGAATATATTCATTTTTACCTGTAGACTTGTTTCAAATTTAGACCACTGTGGGATAGTTTTCACTCTATTATTTGAGATTTAAAATACCGTCTTGCTTTTTTGTCTGTTATGTCCCTTTTCAGCTGTCATTAATGTCCAGCTGACCCCTCGGAGGTACTAATGGTAGTCCAAATTCTGAAAGGGACGGAGAATGTAAGAAATGAGTACTATAACTTATTTTTTTTCTGTCTAGGGAAAACTTGTTGGAATTTGTGGCAGTGTGGGGAGCGGAAAAACTTCACTTATCTCAGCGATTTTAGGGCAGGTGAGAAATTCTGTTTTGACTACTTCTGCTCTTCTCTTTCCTATCTCCTATTTCACTTATTTGTACTCTGTAGAAGAAAGTCTGTTCTAAACACGGAATAGCATAATTTCACAGTTTCTCTTTAATTTCAGATGACCCTGTTGGAGGGTAGCATTGCAATAAGTGGAACGTTTGCATATGTGGCCCAGCAGGCCTGGATTCTCAATGCTACACTTCGGGACAATATTCTTTTTGGCAAGGAATATGATGAGGAAAGGTTTGTCAGGACTGTTTGCGGATCTTCTTGAAAGCGTTATAATTCTTGGCCCAAGTGTAGGAAAATTTCTGCGGAATACACTGCAGTTAAAGTCTATGTAACCTTTTAGAGTTTGTCTTTAAGACTTCAGTCTCATTTAAGAGCCTGCTTCTCTTGCACGTGGTCACTGTGGCTGATGGCTGTCAGCACGTCTGTCACTACTCATTTGCAGCGAGGGCTGTGCCTCATGCTAGAGTACTGTCCGATCTCTGTTTTTAGCAGATGCTGTGGAGCAGCACTGAAGTGGCATTTGCTCTTGCTGTCCTGGCCTTGCCCTCTTTGAATGCAGCAACTGCTGTTTGCAATATACTGGCACCTTCCATCGCCCTCCCCCAGTGGGGGCCTTCCCTGTGGCCTGTACTAGCTGTCCCTGGAAAGAAAGGGCCTCCTTCCCTTCACTGTACTTCAGAAGTAGGTGGTTAATTATGATCCTTAGTTTCCTCCTGCGAATCCAAGATAGATCATTTATTTTAGGCTGCTGGAATGTCTGCTGTTAGTGTAGAAAGTGAGATAGCGCTGTACTAGCTAGATACATGGGGGGAAAAAACAGTGTTCTTACTATGTATCCAATTCTTCTTTAGGTACAACACGGTGTTGAATTGTTGCTGTCTAAGGCCTGACCTAGCCATCCTTCCAAATGGGGACCTGACAGAGGTATAAATTTTGCTTATAGTAAACTAATTAGTAGATGGAGAAAAATAGAGTTTTGGTTTGGTAAACTAAACTGGAATGAGGGGAACATCAGTCTGGTGTGCAGATAAGCCAGGCTGTTGAATGCACCTTCTTGAGCTGAGCTTATCAATGCAGGCGCTGGGCTATTGAGAGTTGTGTGATGTTTTTGACTCAAATGTTGACAATTTTGGAGTTTTTTATTGTGTTGTAAATTTGGCTCCATTAACAGGACCTATTTCAACTTGATTTAAAATAGCTAAGAAAAAAGCATGGCTATGTTACTACAAAAAAAGTAAAATAAGCAAAAAATTACTGCCACATTTCAAGCTTGAATGTACAACACATTTCACAAAGAAAGAAGTGGACACCTAAACTAGAATATACATATATATAAAAACAACATATAATAATATGGGGTGTGTGTGTATATATATAAAACAAAAAATATTATGGTCTGGCTCATTCAGGTTGCCTCGAGCTCTGAATATGTGTTGCGTGGTGCTGTAAAAATAAAAGAACGGTGTGTGTCTGTACAGATTGGTGAACGAGGGGCTAACTTGAGTGGAGGACAGCGTCAGAGAATCAGTCTGGCTCGAGCCCTGTACAGTGACAGAAGCATTTACATCCTGGATGATCCCCTTAGTGCCTTGGATGCTCATGTTGGAAATCACATTTTTAACAGTGCAATAAGGAAGCACCTGAAGTCAAAGACTGTCCTGTTCATCACTCATCAGCTTCAGGTACTACATCTCTCATACTTTCTTTCTTGGACTTTCTTGAAATACTGTTTAGTCAGTTGCCTTCATACTGGAAATTTCTATGCCCTGACCTGTTACAGCATGACCCTGTCCATCTATAGGATGCATGGTTTACGTTTACAAACTAGGTTTGCAAAGATGCACTGAGAACAATCTAATTCTTTATTTGATGCCAGTGCTGCTTGGTGTCTGATCTGGGCTGATAACACTTAGCTAAAGAAATTTTACCAGAGAAATAAATACCTTGTTCAAAACCACTTTTGCTAACTTGCTATAAAGCTAGTTCATCACATCAGAAAAACTTAGATTTGATGTCAGTGAATTAGAATGAATGTATTCTGAGATTTTTTTGCTATCATCTGTGCATAGAAATATGAATACTTAGTGTATCAGTATTTGCAGTGTGTAAGTATCCTGACTTGTTTTTTCCGTAACAGATTGTTTTTGATAGAACATAAAAACTCTATTTCTGTACAGTGAGAGTAAGCATGGTGCTCTAGTCAATGCAGGACCTTCAAAAATCAGATGTCTATTACCTTGGAAGAGGTGTGTTGTGTGCAAGTGTCTATAAATTACTGAAGAGGATTGTGTGGGAGTGTGTCTGGTTATCGAACATAATGATAAAGACTTGTTGCTACTGCCATTTTCTTCAGTATCTTGTTGACTGTGATGAGGTTATCTTCATGAAAGAAGGCTGCATTACTGAGCGAGGAAGTCATGAGGAACTGATGAATTTAAATGGGGACTATGCAACTATCTTTAATAACCTGCAGTTGGGAGAAACACCACATATTGAGGTACCTGTTTGTTCATTTTAACGTGCTCTGATGACTTTTCCGATGAGATGAACCAAATGACGGAAGACTGGAAAATGGCTTCACATGTTCACGTGTTGATCTGACCAATAGATTCCCTGTAGAATACTCTGTGCTTCGTTAGCACTTCGTATTTGCATTCACAGTTCGTATATGCAGTCACAGTTCGTATTTAGGGAATGTGTAGTGGAGAGGACTCTGCAATGAGCTCATGAGCTGATCCTGAAAGTAATGTATATTCTCCTCTGGTGATGCTCACAGCAGGAAGCTTGTTGTCTCTTTTGTTGTACACCTCACTTCTTAATTTACCTCCGAATTAGCACAGACCTGGACCAACCTTTGTGTAAAAAATTCTTGCTGGTTTGTTACTTCTTTTTCACATAGGGTGTGACTGAGGCACAGGAAAAGTGATGCAACTTGACAAAAGTTAGATGTGACAGTTTTTTGGAAATGTGACTGAAAATGCTTTGTTTTGGAGGATTTTGAGAGAAAAAAATTGTTGTTTGACACTACTCTTATGAAACAATGGCTGTAAATGCAAACTTGGATTTGTGCTCTAGTGTTTTTGTTGGTTGAAAAAATTTAAGTCTAGAAAATAACAAGAACCATTCAGTAGGACAAGCATTTAAATTTTCAGCAATTTAATTTTTCCCATCTTTCTCCTGTTTGTTTCCTGAAGTTATTCTTTGGAGTAAGGAACTTTGCTTTTTATTTGATGATCATTTACTTCTCTAAGTGTTGCGTGTATTTTCTCTTAGTAAGAAGAGATTAAAAAGCACATTAGCAGTTTATTTTAAGAGATGAGAAGGTCCTTATGCACAAGTTGCAGACACTTTAAAAAAAGTTTCTGAAAAGGCAGCAGTGTGATAAATATACAGATATAGAAGGTGCTTGGTGAAGCTTTCTCCTGGGACTTGTTAGTGAAAGAAGGAAAAGAATATAATGCATTACTCTCCATATCCTTTCTGAGGCATGAAGATTATTGTTCTGCCATTCTAAGATTAATGACAGTTAACATGAGATTCTCCAGTCTGCATGCTTGGCTGACCTTCACTGTCTCTGTAGAAGGAGCACTAATTTGCATTCCCGATGGGATAAGAAGAAATGGATGGTAAAGTTAGATTCTCTGTGGTTTGACATGTGTGAGATGTCTCTTCTCGTGTCAAGTGTGGGAAGAGAACCCTGAAGATGCTGTGTAGGGGTTTTCAGTTAATGTAGGCTGTCTCTGGACAGGTAGTAATTTCCATTTGTGGGAGGATGGCTGGGTTTAGAACAGTAATTGTGTGTGCAGTTCAGTGTTTGGGCATTTGATTTCTGGAAGACCAAGTTAACCTGACTTTGTCCTTAGCGACTTTTCACGAGAGCTTTCCTGAGTGAAGTACTAGGATGTCTGGAGGGAAAAAAACCTCTTAACAAAATTGTGAGTTATTTTTACAAGGGACAGGGGGGATTGTATCTTTCAGTAGTAGGGGTGTCATTCCTCTACCATGTATGCACATAGTGTCACTGATTCTGCAAATTAACCTTGCAGACTACCAGTACAGATTGGTAGCGGTTCTGATTAATAGAGGAGGAGAATTTAATGCACCGAAGTTGGCAGTCATCCATAGTAACAGCAAAGTTAATATCCTCCTTCATATGAATGATGCTAAGCTATTGAAAGCCTTTGCCCTTAGAAGGTAGGTTGTAAAAAGTTTGGGTTCGGCTATGAAAATGTCAAAGCAAATTACTCCGGTCTGTTTAGTGTCATTGTTTTCCTGCAGATTAATATAAAGAAGAACACAAACAGTTCACTGAAAAGACCCCAGGATAAAAGTACCAAAACAGGGTCTGTGAAGAAGGAGAAAGTTGTAAAGAAGGAAGAGGGTAACTATGTAATCAGATTTCTGGTTGTAATTATTTTATGCATCAATATGCTCAAAACATTTGCTTTCGAAGTGTATTATGAATGTACCTCTCTGGTTTTGAAAGCTGTCTCAAGTCCTGATCACTGTGTGGTTGATAGGACACAGGCAGTGGGCGAAGAACATTCGTTAATTCATTACATATGGGTGCCTGCACAATGTTTTTGAGTTCAGTCAGGCTGCCGCTGGTCAGATGCCATTGGCACAAAGGAGCTTGTAGCACCATGCCTCCCACACCACCTCTCCCTCCTATCCTAAGAGGGCAATGTGTATAGCTTGGTACTCGCAGACTCCTAGGCAGGACATGGCGTTTATGTATGAAGAACTGGAAGATCTGACCTCTGTTTTGTGGTTCTCTGTTTAATCTTAACTTTGAACTTCAGCAGTGTTTAAAAATCAACAGGGAGGCTGATACCAGCCTAGTATTTGAGTCTATGCTGAATATACTGTTTCAGACAGACCATGACTTGAATGATTCTGCAGAGGAAAAGTGACTTTTTTAAAAACTGTTTGAACTATTGAGTTCTACATATTAAGTAATGTCTGTATTTCTGAAAGTACTCTGTACAGCTTGAAAATTATTATGGTTTATTGTATGTTCACAAACTTACAGAAGTAAGTGAGAACAGCTTTCTTTTTCTTACTCCCTCCTCTTTTGTTTCACAGGCCAGTTGGTCCAGTTGGAAGAGAAAGGGAAAGGCTCTGTCCCCTGGTCTGTTTATGGTATCTACATTCAGGCAGCTGGAGGCCCCTTTGCATTCCTTGTCATCATGACTCTGTTTGTGCTGAATGTGGGCAGTACAGCTTTTAGCAACTGGTGGCTGAGTTTCTGGATCAAGCAAGGCAGTGGAGTAAGATAAATAGCTTTTCTACTCTCTTGTGTCTAATGGGCAGGGGGATTGTTCTAGACTAATCCCAGGCAGTCCTATGAGATCAAATGGTGCTTCCTAATTGAAGCAAGTGGTAAGGCTCGTCAGGAGGTGATCTCACTAGAGAGTTCACCTCCAAGAATAAGAGAGCTCCACTAATAAGAAAGATAGAATAGCTCATGTGGTTTTATACTGCTCTCTTGTTCCTAGTCTTGGTTTGTCTAAGGAACTGACAATGTGAATGGGGCCAACAAAGCTGCAGGAGGAATTACTAATTTTAGTGCTGATTTTCATTTGAATGTGACCTTACATCTAACAGCATAATCTTGTTAAAATACGTGGCTTTAAGTCAAATGACTTTTGGGAGTTGCCTTGAAGACTGTGATGACCTGGGATGGTTTGGGATTTTTCCCACTGTGGGGACTTTAATTGCAAGTCTTGTTGCATTTAAAGATTCAAATATAACTGCAATTTTTTTTTTTTGGGTTGGGGGGAGCAAGCTACTAACCTTGGGGAAGAAATAATGAAGTGCAGATGGCCAACAATATTAAAATAAGTGATGAGGTCCTTAAACGTACTTCAAGATTAAAAAGAAAAAAGAGATTGAGAATGTACAATAGTGTGACAGTAAAGAATTTACTGCGTACTGGCAGAAAATAACAACGATGTTTGATAAGAAGACAGTGTACAACCTATTCAAGGTGACTGTTGCTGTGTAGTAGGAGTGCTGGTATACAAGTATCTGGCATTGTTCAGAAGAATACAAGAAATGATAAGCATGAAATGAGAGATTAGGAATCAAATGAAGTAGGTATTGTGGTATTGTTTTCAAAGATATTGTAGGAAAAAGGCCAAGGGCTACAAATCTGCAAGTCACATATCTCTGCTAGGGAGAACTTTCTGAAGGATTAAAAGATCACTGCATTTATTTAAAGAAGAAATATCAAATGTAGTGGGAGGGGACAGAGGACCGTTAAATTCTACCATGTGTATTGTGTACATGCTTAATCCTTGTCTTCACTAACTACTTACTGAAACCTTGAATTTTCTGTAGAATACCACTGTGACTTTGGGAAATGATACTGTCATAAGCAACAGTATGAAAGATAACCCTCACATGCATTACTATGCTGGGATCTATGCACTGTCTATGGCGGTTATGTTGATCCTGAAAGCTGTTCGTGGTGTTGTCTTTGTAAAGGTATGTGCCAATGCTGTTGTGTTTCTTATCTCCCGCTCCTCCTACTTCTGCATATTGCTGTCACTGTGCTTCTTTTGATCACCTCCCAAGAGAGACTTTTGAGCCAGAGGAAGTCAGATCACAGATTGTGAGGTTTCCAGAAGTCAACTCTTGGGGCTGCACCATGCTTTCGGTGAAACTTCTGCCCAAATCAATAGTTTCCTTCCACTAGTTAAAAGCACAGAATGCAAGAAAAAAAAACCTTATGGTTGAAGAGAGAAAATGAGCAGAATGTTTTGGTGCTTGGGGAGGGGCAGTGTCAGGAAGACAACCATCCTTTCATAACGCTGCAACGTTTTTTGCATTGTCAGGGAACTCTCAGAGCATCCTCAAGGCTCCCACTACACCCACTGGGCGGATTCTCAACAGGTTTTCCAAAGACATGGATGAAGGTATCTCTGCTCTGTGCGCTGTAGATCCCACATTCGGACCTCCTCATTATCTCCTTAATACTTTCCAGTCTCTTGCTGTTGGGGTGATTGCACCCTGTATCCATTGCTGAATGTACACATGTAATAGACAAAGCAGGAATTGGGATGTCCCTGGGTTATGATTCTAGAAGGCAGCTGATATCTCAAGTCTGTCCGTTCACTTATAAAGAAGAAAATGTGCAGCTGCTTTTGTACCTGCAGACTGCATGTGGACTCTTAGCAAGTTGATGCAGGGGGAACCTAGAGTATCAGGGTGAAGCTGATGTGCAGCAAAGGTGGTAATTAGGTCAGGGTTGCATCAGTGCTATTTCTGCAAGTGGGAATAATTGGAAAGACTACTAGCATCTAAAAAGATGCACCCCTAATGAAAAATGTGCATTTTTAATTTGAATAAGCCATGAGAAATCACTGTCCTTGTCAGTGAGGTTGTACAGCTGGACTGAATTGCTTTATATAGGTTGTTTTAGCTTTCTGTACTCAAGATCTTCCTCTTTCCCCTCCATCTTTTCCAGTTGATGTTCGTTTGCCATTTCAAGCAGAAATGTTCATCCAAAATGTCATCCTTGTGTTCTTCTGTGTGGGGGTGATCTCTGGGGTTTTCCCCTGGTTCCTGGTGGCGGTGGGGCCTCTCATTGTCCTGTTCACAGTTTTGCACGTTGTGTCAAGGTAAGTGCATCAGCTGCTTTGACTAAAAGTAGAGATACTTTGGCCTGTTAATAAGGTCATAGGGTTCTTCAAGTATATATGCATCAATGTAGTGGTTGGCATATGGTGGCTGTACATGTCACTTAAAAGTGCTTCTTTCCTTCCAGAGTCTTTATTCGAGAGCTCAAGCGTCTGGACAACATCACACAGTCTCCATTCCTGTCTCATATTACATCTAGCATCCAGGGTCTCTCCACAATCCATGCCTACCACAAAGGACAGGAATTTCTGCACAGGTCAGTCTAGATATCCATCTGGCAGTGGTGGAGCACAAAGCAGGGTGCAAAAGGTTTACATTCAGAAAGATTTATTAATGTGGGTCTATAGCTGATGGCATGCAGTGGTCCTAAGAGCGAAAGTTACTTTTCGGGGTAAAAATGAGGGAGAACAAGAAGGAGAAGAAGGGTAAGGGAAAACTCCCCAGTAGCCAACTGGGAAGAACAGTGATGGGGTCCCAGGTGAATGTCCTCCTCTGGGGTTATCTGCAGTGCAGCAGGTGGCAAGGATAGTGGTGAGGACAACTTTTTGGCCATACTTTTCCCCTAGTAGTATATATTTCTCATCAGGTCCTGCTCTCGTTTTCTGTTGGTTGTTTCTCGTTGTGATGGTATTAGTATTAGTTAGAGCATGCTAACAAAACCTCAGTGTGCATATTGATGAGCTGTTAGTCTCTGTGCACGTGTATAATTGGATAGCATTTATCAAACATTTAAGTGATTGTTAGCCACCTTGTTGTGCACTGTGCTTGGTTTTCTCGAGTGTAAACTAAAATCTGCAAAACAAATGTTAGTGAGGGAAGGTGAAACATTTCTCATGTGAGTGGTAGTTGCTTCCCATGAGAACCTGCCACAACAGTATCAGGGTTTTGCACGTGCAAGGTCATGAAACCAACAGTGTGGGAGCACAGGGAAAATTGCCACAGAAGCTCTGGAAAGACACTGCTACACCAGCTTAAATGAAAGGTTCGAGAGGTGCAAATAGCAGACCCTTAGCTTTGCGGGTGCTAGAGCACTAGGGCACTGCACACACTCTGCAGCAGTGATTGGTGTAAAACTGAGTTGCACTGTCAGAAAATTTAGATGCTGGCTTTGTGAATCTCTAAAGTGCCTCCCCTGTAACATACTTTCGTAGCTCTGCAGCGTCAGGATTATAAATTAAATGGTTATTGGTGTGTTTTAATTAGTGTCACCAATCCTATCAAAACTTACTGTAACTTTACTTTTACACTTGTGTATAAAATAACACATATTCTGTGCATATTCTGAAGTGCTGCTGCTGTTACCCATGGAGTAATTTGTAGCCATCGAGCTTCCTCGCGGTCTTGCATAGGTGAAGTTGGGGTGAAAATGTGTGCATTGTCCCTGAACTTTGATTCACTCCAGTAGAATTCATTGTTGTACACAGAAGCTTGGTAATTTGACTTCTGAGGGTTTGAGCTAAGTAGGTATCTGACATTATTCAGCAGAGTTTGTAAACTCTGCTTTCATGGCCTAGTTTGAGTCTTTATGCCAATGATGGGCTAGTCTTCCCACCCTGAATTATGATACTGGAACAGAGGTTTAAGTAGCTGTGCTGCTTGTAGAACATCAGGCCTGTGGAGGTCTACTAACCTTTCCTGTATTTGTTTCAGGTATCAGGAGCTCCTAGATGACAATCAGGCACCATTTTACCTGTTCAGCTGTGCAATGCGCTGGCTAGCTGTACGGCTGGACGTTATCAGCATTGCTCTTATCACAACCACTGGCCTTATGATTGTCTTAATGCATGGCCAGATTCCTCCTGCCTACGCTGGGCTGGCTATCTCATATGCTGTGCAGGTGAGTAGGTCCATATACTGTAATACTTAATCTCTCATTTAATGTAGTTATCGCTAATAAGTAAAAGTAATACACCATTGAAAACTTTCCTTAATGCACTGGAGTGGAAAAAGATACTGTTAACCCTTTTGGTAATGGAGGGGAAGCAATTCAGAGTCAGGACCTTTTGCTAGCAGTCAAATGATAAATTATGAGGAGCTAGGTGCTTAAGGCTATTGTTTTGGGGATCTGCCTCTTTTTAAATGATGAAGTAGAACCCGTTTGAGGCTCTTCATGTGCTGCATATTGCAGTTTTCCTGGGTATTTTCAGAAACTGGATTGATGGTGCGTCAGACACCTGCCAAACTGATGTCTTAATGTATTGCCTGCAGTACATTTTCCCAGGCAACAGCATCCAGTGTTGTAGCTGTGCTGGTTAAATACACTTCAGGGTTCAGAATACTTGCTGTTGGAGCTGTTGTTTGGCTTTTTCTGCCTTCTGGTGGTAGTAAGGTGAAATTACAAAGCTTAGCTAATACTTAAAAGCTGTTGCTTGTGGGAAACCTTTCTAAACTCCTGTCTTTCCAAGTGATTAATAAATTATGGTTATTTTAAAAGGAATTAAACTCAAATCAACTTGCCTTGAGCACCTTAGTTATATGGTGCTCAGTGCCAAAGAGTACTTGTATCAGATATCCATTAGGTTAGTCTCTTAATTCAGTAATAAATCACAGCCCTCTAAATTTGTCTTTGTTTTCTCCTGTCACTCCAGTTAACAGGGTTATTCCAGTTTACAGTCAGACTTGCTTCAGAAACAGAAGCTCGCTTCACCTCAGTGGAGAGGATTGATCACTATATAAAGGTAGGACAATAGTACATTCAACTGCCTGTTGTAAAATTTCTTGTTGCTTGTTATGTTGCTGGCATAAGACGAAGTTAGCCATAGTCTGTCTTAGTACAGAATGTATGTTTCTGATCTTGTAAACACATTTTGGTGCCTGTACTGTAATACTGCAGAGTGAATTTGTTTTATGAAGCATGTATATAAGCATTGGCGGACTGAATTACACAAGCACTGGTAGGTAACTAAGCTTACAGGCATCATGTGCCTGGCATCACTGAAGTTACATTAGGATATGGAAAGTTTGCTGACACTCTTGGTAAAGAGTGGAGTGTGTGAAAGGGGTAACTAGAGAATTCAATACAATATTTTACGGTAAAAGAAGGGTGTTCTGGCATCCTTCATTCCAAAATTAGCTGAAGTCCTTCATTCAAATACAGACAACTGTTACTTTATCTACATGTAATTCTGCTTCATCCTAATAAGTCTACTTCTTTTTCCACAGCTCCCTCATATGACATATTTCTATATGTTTAGGAAGTCAAGGAATTGGTTTCCTTGCAAACATGAGAAATATGCCATGCTAAATGCTTAGCAAGCTGCTCTGATTGCTGTGATTATCTGTAACCCTTTCTTCGTAACTAGGATTTGTGTATGCAGAACTGGGCATAGGTCAATGGGGAATGTGTAGCCAGGAGAAAGTCTTCTACTGGGTCTGGTCTTTGAGGTGAAAGGTTTTTTTTACTTTATATATAATACACATTCCCTCTGAACTCTGGAGGCAGATACATACCTATTTGGTAAATCTGAGCTATATAGCAGTTGATATTTGTAGAACTTTTTTTTAGCCTGTGGATTTAATACTTAAGAAAAAAAATTTAAAACTGTGCAGTCCCCCAGTTAAATAAATAAATCGTCTTGTGGCGTATAAGTATAAAATTTCTGTGTATGGAAGACTTGGTGACCACACAAGCTGACAACTGTGTGCCAAATATTGCTTGGTATCTCTCACAGAGCTGAGATGAGTTTAGCATTGTCAGGCCTTCAGTGGCAAAACCTATAGTTGTACACTGTTGTTTTTTTTTTAAGTTACTATCTATCATTTTATGTTACTACTGACACACTGTGATTTTTCTTATTTGGATCTCTAGACAGCCATTTTATTATGAAACTGTAAAACTAGTTTGAATCTGAAGAGATGGGTGAGCAGTGAAACACCATGCAGGTTCTGTGTCTTACCAAGTTCCAGGCTTGGCTTCTTGCAGTGCAGGCTCCGACGTTGCTGTTATGAGCACTAGGCTGAAAGAATTGGAGCACTATTGTAGAAGATCACTGTTTTTCTCAAACCCTTGGGGTGCAATTAATCTGCCTCTAACTAGATGTTGCAGATGTCCACAACTGACATAGTCCCTGTGGGATCTCTCTATAGTCAATGCAGGAAATGGCCATCTCCAGGGGGCAATTTATTACCCGTTCGAAGTGTTTATATTAGAACGAGAAAAATCACACTGCAGAAATGCCAGCTTCCTTGTAGTGACCATAAAAGAGTTGACGCGACCTGGTTCAGTTGGAGATTCTCACTTTGTATGTGTTTAAAGTTACATGAGGTAAATCCCACGACATGATTTCTGCCGTTCTTTGAGGCTGCTTGTGCTAAATATGGGAAAGTGACCGTGGCTTTGTTCTAAACATGCTATAAAGGCACACGTTTGGCTTTCAGAGGTTCTGCTTTTCTGTTTAATCTGTGAACTGCTTAATAAGGGGATCTATTAAGGGGCAGAGTAAAGTAGCAAAAGTGAGCAAGCTGGAAGGGGCCCGACTGACAGGAGAGAATGAAGGAAGAGAAGAAAGAGGATAGCATTTGTACAATGTGTCACGTGGACATTCCCTTCCGTGTTAGAATCAACAGAGGTGACCCTGGCATGGCATTGCAAATGAGACATAGAAATACAGCATATTATGCGTCCAGTCTTTGGAGTGCCACAAAACTCAGCAGGATTGTGCTCATAAGTAGTAAGCCTAAAATACATTTTGAATTCCATTGATGGAAAACATTGTTGTGTAGAAGGACCAATGTCATCACTGAGGCAACAGGAGGGGAACAACAGTGTGGTCAGTGTAGCACAGCAGCTTTCTGAACCACTGGGCCTGCATCCAGCCACGCAGCTCATCATAAAACTGCTGCAAACTGATGTATTTTCCTTTCTGGTGTTTTGTTTATTGGAAACTGAACTTCTGTTTTTTTTAAAGACACTTTCCCTAGAAGCTCCTGCTCGGATCAAGAATAAAACTCCTCCTCTGGACTGGCCACAGGAAGGTGAAGTTGTTTTTGAAAACGCAGAGATGCGGTACCGAGAGAACCTCCCTCTAGTACTTAAAAAAGTGTCCTTTACCATCAAACCAAAGGAAAAGATTGGCATTGTGGGAAGGACAGGCTCAGGTGAGGAAAAACACTAAGCAGAGTTAAATTACTGCATTTATAGAATAGGAGTGGAATAGAGTGGGGCAGTCATATTGTTTCTCCTCTGTCTTCTCAGTGTTTGACTGAATTGTTAATTGCACAGGAGTGGTCCAGCAGTCCGTCAGTGGTGGATTCTGTTCATGTGCATACACAAGCAGGATCCCTGTAAACAACAATGAAAAAGTTTCCACTTAAAGTAGAGGGATATCCTATTATGCATGAGCCAGTACGCTCGTTATGTTTATCACCCTAAGCCACTTCTCCGCACAGAATGGACCTACAAGGTGCTCATTGCAGCTTATTTAACTCTCTTGAAAATTTTTGTGCGGATGCTGCAGCCAGGTTTGGCCCTAAGCTATCTCAGAAGTCTGTAATGCAAAGAATCATATTCCCTGTTTGTGAGATGACTTAGATCAACTCCAAAATGTAGTTTCTAAAGAAGCAATGAATATTGCTGTATTTGGTTTATGTGGCAGGGTTTTGATAGTGGAGGTGGGGTGGCACTGCAGGGGTGGCTTCTGTAAGCAGAGATTAGGAGCTGCCCTTACAATTGCTTAGAAGTTTAAATGCTGAACCCCAGCATTTATCAGCATTGCTTGACAGGATTTTATGGTATTTTAAAACACTTTTCTTACACATAGACAGCTTTTAGAATGCTTTCTCATCTCAAAGCTGCTATGACTCTGTAGAAACACTAATATTGTTTTGCCTGTCTCATTTTTAGGGAAGTCTTCCCTTGGAATGGCACTCTTTCGTCTTGTTGAACTGTCTGGAGGCTGCATTAAAATTGATGGAGTGAAAATAAATGACATTGGTTTGGCAGATCTTCGCAGCAAACTCTCAATAATTCCTCAGGAACCTGTGCTATTCAGTGGCACTGTGAGGTTAGTGAGACCATAAGAAGGCAAGAAGGACTAAGCAGGCTACCAGCTTATACCTGAACTCAAATAGGTGCCTGGTGAGATGTTAGTTGTCAGGCATCCTAGCTTCTGTTCTCTGTTTTTAAAACAAACACAGCTAAATGATCTTAGTTGGCTCAGTGCAGAACTGAGTGTGATCATCCTCTATGGAAGTCTTGCTCTCCTTTAGATTTGATTGATGTTTTTGTATCTTTGTCATCCATCTCTGCTCTTTTGTTCTTTGGCTACTCTAACGCCAGTGTGCTGGGAGCATCTGATTTCCTTGGCAAGGAAATTCTGCCAGTGGAAGGCTAGGTGGGAATCATCCATCTGGATGAATTAGCACACTGCTGTTTTGCCATTCATTCATGAATAAAAATTCTGGTTATGTTTTCTGCTTCCCCCTCCAGATCAAACTTGGATCCTTTCAATCAGTACAGTGAGGAACAAATCTGGGATGCTTTGGAAAGGACTCACATGAAGGAGTGTGTAAGTATTATGTGTCCTATTATGTGCCCTGTGAGATACATGTTTGTGTTTTGGCTTCCAAACCAAAGTGTGCTGTTAGGAGCTATTTCAGAGACCTTTAGATAAAGTTTTTTTCTTTGCAATTTTTTCCCCTCATTGTCTATGCTTTATTTGACTGATTTTTTTTTTTCCCCTGATTTAATCAGACTGATTTTTTTTTTTTGAGAAGGTGCCATGTTTTGGGTGTATACTTTTTTAGTATATAGCATAGCAGAGTGCTGCTTCATCACATGGACTCCTCGGGTGTTACAATTTTTCAAGTGATATTTTTCTGTATGTGCCATAAGCATGCATTCTGCATTTACATTTGTGAGTGGAAATGTCACATGTGCATGTTTATACTGAACTTAAAATCTGTCCTTTGCGAGGCCCTCTGCAGCAAGTCTCACTGTCATGACATTTCCAATTCCTCTTTTCTTGTAAGTCAAGTGGCATGCATGGCTATCATACATAGGCTGCAGTAATTCCTGCAGGGACTAGGTTTACTCTTTTCTCTTGGTGAGAAAGACTGTCAGGAAGACCTGTATTCATGTTGACGTGATTTTGTACATGGCACAATTTTTTCTAGAAATGCAATGCTTTGTACTTTAGTCATTCCAAGGCTGCCTACTGAGATGATCTAGCTCTTTCAGCTTAGTCCTAGTGGTGTTCTCAGGAGCTATCACTGAGTCACAGGCATTTCAAATGGACTGAGCAGGTCTGATGTTTTATTGCTGTTCTGGCATTAGTTGCTTTTTCCTGATTTCCCCAATAGAGACAGGGAGAGATGGACAGCAAAGTGTGACAATATTTTGGAACATGGGCAGAATCAGATTTGCGGGAGGAGCAACTGTTTGTGTCATGCCATGGAGATCCGAAAAGTCTGTGCAATGCTTTAAGATTTTTGCCTCTTCTTTCCCACACAGATTGCCCAGCTGCCTATGAAACTTGATTCAGAAGTGATGGAAAACGGGGAAAACTTTTCAGTTGGAGAGAGACAGTTACTGTGCATAGCTAGAGCTCTACTACGTCGTTGCAAGGTGAGTACAGTAATGAGAGAAATAGCTGGAGATATCAAACTGATTGTATTGAGCAAGCCTTTTTTTGTGCCAGATTCATTCTATCTGTCAGAGGAATCACACCGAGAATTATTGTGACCCAGAGAGGTGTAGGGTTAGAACACCTAGGAAGGCATCTGTAGCCAGTTGCTAGCTCCTGTGCTGTCCTGCCACCGGAAAGGTATTGCTTTTCAGTGCCAGGGTATCAGACTGGCCTAATCGTTTATTCAGAGCGTCCTGTTACTGGTGAGCGTTAGATTCTTTCCTTCTTCCACCTTTTTGTGAATGTTAGCCGAGTATTTTCCTTCTACATGGTGGTCCACTAAAATGTAGTCTCCAAGTGGAATGTGGGACCATGCTATGCCAGCGAAGTTAAAGGTTTTGCAGGAATGGAAGACAAATGATAATCACAGTGTGAAAGGACTTTTGGATTGAGACTGACCAGGATTCTAACATCCTTTTTTCTTAAACATTGCATACCATAATATTTTAAGGTTCACACTGTGTATGTTTTAAAGCCAAACTACTCAGCGGAAGTTACTGGTCTCTTTGCAGTACCTGCACAAAACAAATCTAGCTTAGGTTTGACAAGACACCACTCCAAATCAGTTTATGTCTGAATCTGAGAGGAAGGGTAATTCTTTCAAGTAGAAGAAAAAGACTAGTAAGCCGAGTCAGTATTGACTCATTCCAGAAGAATGGCACCACCAAGGATGTGTGAGATTAGTTTATCAGTAAAATTTGTATTTGAGATTTAGCTGCTGAATGTAAAACTGAAAGTAGTGGAAACCTGAGGCCCAGGTCAGAACCCAGACATCTCGTGGCTCTAGGATGGGACCATAAAATGCAAGTGTGATCTATAGAGTGACCTTGTTGAAGGCAATTACATAAAGAAAACTGAAAGGGTCCTTGTAAAAACTACCTTTGTGACCACAGCTCCGTAAGGATTGCCAGTTGTGACAACTCTTGGTCATGGTAATTCTGTCCGTTCTACATATTTTTACGTTAAGGGAGGGAAAGCCTTACTATGGCTAACAGCCAGGATTATGTGCTGCTTTCAGATTTTGATACTGGATGAAGCAACAGCTGCTATGGACACAGAGACAGACTTACTGATTCAGGAGACTATCAGAGAGGCATTTGCAGACTGCACTATGTTAACAATTGCTCATCGCCTGCATACGGTACTGGGCTCTGATCGGATCATGGTGCTAACACAAGGACAGGTAAGCAGAAAAACTTTTGTGGCTGCAGTTCCTGTTGCAGTCTGGTAGTGCCGTATGTGCAAGGTGAACTGAAGGAACAGCTAGTATTGCAGGGTAGAAAATCCTCTGTGTTCATTCACATCCTTGGTAATAGTACTCCAATAGAATCAGTTATTGTCAGGCCGTGACAAGATTAAAGAGGACAAAATTTCTTTTACACTCCAAGAAAGTACCACAGAGTAACAGTCCCTCTTTTAAAAGTGTTTTTACAGCTCCCTCTGTAGGTTAATTTTGAGACGGGTAATAACGTCAGCATCTCTGCTGGGGGCTCAGTGGCAGTTTCCCATTACTTTCCTGAAACCCTGTGCTATCAAACATGCATATGAGAGATACCTGAACCATTTTCAGGCTTCCAGGGGGGAGCCATAAACAGTTAAATCAAATGTAAGAACATCTGGCGAGGCTCTTAAAGGTAGAGAAGGCAAAGAGCCGTAGCATCTGCCTCTGTTTGCCAGAGCCCCCAGAGGCTGCTTCCCGCTGGGTAGTTACAGTGTTTGTCTGAGCTAGTTTGAGGCACCCCAGGTTACAGTATGTATCCATAAACGCGCATACTTTCACTGCCTATTGTCTCATGTAAAGATGAATGCCATGTTTTGGCTTCTTTACTACCATGTCACAAGTCCAAGGGGTGGGAATCCATTTTCTGCTGGATTTTACTGACATGCTCTACCTGCCTTTGCTCTTAGGTAGTGGAATTCGACACGCCGTCTGCCCTTCTGGCCAATGAGAACTCGCGCTTCTACGCTATGTTTGCTGCTGCGGAGAACAAGGTTGCTGTGAAGGGCTAAAATTCAGGGCAAAGTCACTTTAATTTTGGAGAGCTACACTCCCTGCCTGTGGCAGGCCAGCTCTTCCTCCTCCTCTTCCTCCTCCTCCTCCTCCTTCTAGCAGATTATTGCCTTTTCATCTTTTAATTTGTAGCACAATGTGTCAAGCCAGAAAGTTTTTAAAACTGTGTCAGAAGAATTCTCCATGTTTTTATTATTGTATTTATTCCATAATCATATTACTAATTTTTTGTGATTAAATGCACTCTACAGATGGCTCAGGGAGCCATAGTTATAAATGTATCAGAGGCCTATAATGAAGCTTTATACATGTAGCTATATCTATACATAATTCTGTATATAGCCTATATTTACAGTGGAAATGTAAGCTGTTTATTTTATATTAAAATAAGCACTGTATTAATAACAGTGCATATTCTTTTCTATCATTTTTGTACAGTTTACGGTACCAGAGATCTGGCTTTGTTATCAGACTGTATCAGACACCATTTTGTCTTTTACAGTTGGTCTTTTCCTAGTGCCGGATTTTCTGCGTGTCTGAGTGGAAGTGAAGCTTTGCGATAGTGTCCTTTATTGTCACATCTTTGTTGTCTAGCGCAGGGGAGAAGAGCTCTGTGGTGTAACTATTGCATTGTAATTTATCAAAGCTATTTGGAGCATCGCTACTGTTCACCACAGCAGCGGCTGCTGCTTCCCGTGATGCTTTCCCAAAGCAGAGTTTTTAGTGATCTCCTGAGTGGAGAACCACTTCTGGGTCACACTAAGGCCTCGTATTTTCTCACTGTCCTGATACAGTATTTCTTACTGTATCAGCAGGGTTTATTTTAATGCAAGCAAGCCCAAGCTCTTCCTGCTTCGCTGATCTAACACAACCAAAATCTAACTGTTCGTGGAATGATCTGTAACAAATTAATCATAAGGTTCAAATCATACCCTGTATGCTAGCAGGAAAGCCTTTTCAGAGTTGCTTCAGCTGACTGACTCCTTTATCTTGAAGCTGCTAACAATCCTCAGAGGTTTAGGTTGGCTTTCATTGGCATGGGTAACACTAACTCTTTGTTCTGCTCACTTATGCTAAGGTTAAACAACATCAATATTTCCTGTTTCTTTATTGCACACTTGTTAAGGAAACAGTCCTCCACCCCCCGTCTTCTGGAACTTTAAGGAGGTTCCTGTTGATCAGGATGTAACACTGGTGTAGGACATCGTTTTCTTACTGTAAAGAGACCTACCTCAGGTTACTAGGTCCTGCGTAGTACGCTGCCGTGATCACTGTACACCATCCCTGTTTTACGGGACCTGTGGCCCGGGTGGGCATGGTTGCTCCTATAATAGCTGTGACTTATTGAATGGTCAGCGTTGCATGTGTTTGTCAACTTTGACATTTTGTAGCCTTAGCATGTTTGCAAAATGTCTCACTGAGGCAGAAATCTGAAAAGTAAATAAAACTATTTTGGGTTTTGTAAATTTTATTGACTTAAGTGGTTTGTTTTGGGCATGTAAATTACTTCTCACCTTTCTGAGCCGTAGGGGACAGTTTTTGCAGGCTGGTTTTTTTTTTTCTCTTGTCTGTGCACAACAGCCTGATCTTTCTTCCTTCAGAGTGGTTGTGTTTCTTTAAAAGTCTAATGGGTAATTTTTGTGCCCTCCAGCATGGGAGTGGCTTGCAATATATGTATGTTTGTGTTGAGTAGTACAGGGAATAAAAATTTATAGTGCAAGTGTTCGAGCCAAGTAGCAAGGGGGAAGGTCAGACGGAATACAGAAGATCCTTCTTAGGCTCAGATTTTTCCACTTTCCTTACCTGCAAGCGTTACTGTTTATAATGTGACACGACTGCGAAGTCACAGCAACAAACATTTCTACCTGCCAGTACCAGAGGGAAATCACAGCATTAACAGAGCTTAGACTGTAGCTTGAAGATAGCACAAAAAGCATCATTTGTTGTAGTTCTTCTTTAGTAAGTCTTGTCCTAAGCAAGAATTAACTAGCACAGATTTTAGCCTGGACCCAAGCTTACTCTGTGTCGGGGACTGGCTGCCATTTTGCTCAGTGTTACCCAATTCGGGGAACAGAGTGACTGTGCGTTGTGGTTAGAAAAGGGAGAAGTAATAGGCCTCCCTCCAGAGAACACCCAGCTAAGTGGGGGGTTCTTTCTTGATCAGAAACTTGAGGAAGAAAGAAACTAGGGAGAGGCATGAGGGAGCAGGGGTGGCAGGCTAAAGAGGTAATGCCCTGCTTCGTCCCTAAAAGTAGAGCTGGGTGGAATGTGGAGAGGAAGGCTGAATACCTTAAGGGCAGAGGGAGAGAACGTGAAACGCATCTGCCTAAGGCTGTGGTTAAAGCAGTTCAGGCAGTTGTGGTGTGCAACTCTGTCAAGGACAGGCTTGTCCTGGGCCCTGCAGAACGGAGTTTACCCCCAAACTTCAGTATTTCCCATGAAGAAAAAGGGCTATTATGTACCTAGTTCTCAGGTGCCACTGGGGTCAGAGCGTGGCTTCGTTTTGCAGCTACGGCTGAGCTAATGGCAGTATGGGCAAGAGGGGAGCCGTCCTGATCTTCTCTTCCTCCTTCTTCCAGGCTGGGATTTCCATCCACTTCCCCAATGCCGGCACTGGCTCTTGCCTGGTCCAGCAGTGACCCAGTTCAGAAAGCTAACTTACAGAAAGTTCATCCTCCAAAAGCAGGAATGGTGTGCAAAGAAGGAGACAGGAAATCACACCTGGAAGGGAGGTGAAGTCAGGCTGCTCCATTCAGTAGGTGCTAACTGCAAGACTAGCGTAGGTACGAGAGGAGACTGCGCTCAGGAGGAGTAACACCAAACTGCTGCTTCCCAGTTACGCTCTCCTAAAAAGGTGAATGCTTCCCTGCTGCTTCAGCGAGCTGAAATAGCTCAACAAGGTGTCAGACAAGGGCCTGCGATGGAGCAGGTGAAGTCACCTGTGGATGGCAGGGATTAGCTCAACCATTTTGTTAAACCTTAGCCTCCAGCATTGTTACTTTGGAATTACGGAGACAGACTGCCAGAGGAAGATGTTTTTTCTGCTGTAATCATTTTTGTGCTTTGTTTGGTGCTTGTTTCACAGACAATACAGAAGTGTTGCTTCTCACATGGGTAGCAGTAATTTTTTTATTGGCTTTCGTCCTGAACCACAGGAGCAAGCCAAGGCCTGGCCTGGGGCCCTGTCGCTGAAGTGGAAGGAAGAAACGTCAGTATTTACAAATGAGACCGAAATATCTTTTGAAGCATTCTACAAGAGGTGGATAGTGGTGGGAATTTTCAGCAATTGGATCCTGCTTTAGAATTTACAGTGTCATATCCCAGAGGAGACTTCATCCTGCGAGGAGCAGAATAAGACACTGGGACTGGGACACAGGCTTTTCTTAAAGAGATCCTACCTGAAACAGCACGGAGATAACACATCCTTCTTAGTATAGAGCAGAGGCTGTGGCTCAGTGCCAACAGCAGTGCCACCTGAGAGAGATTTGCCTGGGGTAATTGCGTTGCTGTATGACCCTCGGGAATTCCAGCTGCACCAGTTTTGCTTATTGTGTCCAAATGCAGTGAGTGCAGCCGATCCCGATTGATTACTGTAAGCTTAGGAACTCTTGGAGAGAACGTGTGGCCGCTCATCTCATCTCTCTGACGAGCAGAAACATTGCACTCACCTGGGACTTGGGACTTCAATCAAAACGCAGGTAGGATTCCTCTGAAATGACCCAGTGCAGTTAATGTCCGGTTACACCGGTACAATTAAGTCCAAAGTCAGGCGCTGAAGCTGTGCCAGGGTGAACACCTGAGGAGACCTCACCGTTACCTGTGGTCAAGATCATCCAGCGTCAGATCTCGAGGGGCTGGGGTGTGCACATTATCCCCATGTGGAAGTCAGAGGGGAGATCAAGCAGTCTTACAGCGTGGCTGGGAAAAAAGTTTGAGAAAGCACAATTATTTCAAAAGGCAAATGGCAGGAGTCAGAGAAGGTATTGGAAGGAGAGAATGAATGCCGAAAATTTGATTTACAAAAGGAGGACGTGGAGAGAAAAAAGGTGACAGGACAAGAGATTTCTCTTAGCTAGACAGGGATTGGGTGAAGACAAAATTGCTTCTTGACGGTGCTTCAGAGGAACATACTGAGAAGATGCAGGGTGGCTGCAATGCGCTCATCAACCAAAGAGCCTTCCTGTATGCTGCCTTGGTATTTTTTAGTGCAGCTGTAGCGTGTGTTTTACTACACATAAGCGATTGCGCAAAGGTTTTCTGTGTAGTCCTGGCTTCAGGTCAGTTTGGGCCAATGCTGTGATTTGTTCCCTGGGTCCGGCTGGAGACCCCAGCCACACTGTGCTGGGGCTGCAGCTTCTGCTGCGAGTACGACGACCCCATGGAAACTCCACTGGGAAAGGGTGCAGATGGCCGCTGTCGCTGCGTGAGGCTCGGGAGGCTTCAGAGTGTACCACACCCATGCAATAAATGTTCCTGTGTCACCCGGGAGCCCTGCCTTGGAGACAGAATCACAGAATAGTAGGGGTTGGAAGGGACCTCTGTGGGTCATCCAGTCCAACCCCTTTGCTGAAGCAGGGCCACCTACAGCAGGCTGCACAGGACCTTGTCCAGGTGGGTCTTGAATATCTCCAGAGAAGGAGATGCCACAAACCCTCTGGGCAGCCTGTTCCAGTGCTCCATCACCCTCAGAGGGAAGAAGTTCTTCCTCATGTTCAGATGGAACTTCCTCTGCTTTAGTTTGTGCCCGTTTCTCTTCTTCAGGCTGAACAAGCCCAGCTCCCTCAGCCTTTCCTTGTAGGAGAGATGCTCAAATCCCCTCCCCATCCTGGTAGCCCTCCGCTGGACACTCTCCAGTAGCTCCTCATCTTTCTTGAACTGGGGAGCCCAGAACTGGACGCAGCACTCCAGATGGGGCCTCACTAGGGCAGAGTAGAGGGGGAGGAGAACCTCCCTCGACCTGCTGTCCACACTCCTCCTCATGCACCCCAGGATCCCGCGGCTGAGGTACGCAAAGCTGAACAGCGACAGTAACTCAGGGAAGCGTCGATCCGTGGGGCAGAGATGTCCCTCGGGCTGTGAGGAGTCCACATCGTGGTTACATCCAGCACACCGCCATCCTTCGGCCCTTCCCGCCCGCCGCCGTGCAGACAGACCAGCGGCTGCGCGAAGATGGTGGTGGGGCTCCTGTCCCCATCTCGGCAGGCAGCACGGGATGGTGTGTGATTGATTGATTGACTGATCGATTTATTGATTGCCCTCAGTGAGGGCCGGGGAAGGGTCACGCAGGCTAGGGCTGAGCTGGGGGTGGGGGGTGCCAGCAGGGCGGGGAAGCCAAAGCGGCTGCG